TGTGCCCATGTGATCATCGCTCAACCAAAATTGTGAAGTTGTTTTTCGTTTGCATGTAATTCACACTTGATGTACTAGGTCTGAAACAAAGAAAGTGCCTTTCTAACAGGAAGTCAAGCTGTCTGGATTTGACCGGGAAATTTAACACATGTTCTTAGCTTTAGTGCACTTTACAACTTCGATACATTGTGTACAATTTCAGGTTTGGGTGACACCTAAATTAGAATTCTTTTGTTAGGTTTGACCTTTGGGGGACGCCTAAATTAGAGGGATGCCTAAATTAGAGTACATACGGTATATCATATTTATTCTTTCCAACAGCTATTGGTATTTACTTAATGCATTGTGACATTTTGTCTTCTATACATGAATGAACTGTGTATAAGATGGAGCATACACTCGTATGTAAAATTTTGAAAATGGAAAAATTTAAAGTACAATTTTATTAATAAAATGTCATTTTTCATCACAGTAATTTAATATAGTATAACAAAATGAAAAAAAATGTAGAAACGATCCGTATTACTGTCACCACCATATTGTTCCAAACACCAAAGCAACATCTAAGCTAAGTTGCTGACTGGTTTGCTAAGTATACTTAGAGATGGTTACACGATTAGAATAAGTTGGGTCAATTTAACAGGAGACATCAAGCTTAATAGTGAAGACTTGGACACATTGAATATACCGTAAATAGAAGATCACGATGCGACTGCCTTTCAATTTATTTCATTCAATTTTATAAATGTATAATAAATGACAAAGTTGTGCATTGATTTACATAGTATGAAATGTCTGGCCACAGGTGATGGCGTCTGGTGCATGTCATATTAACCAGTTCTAATCATGTAATGATCTTGAGGCGCATATAACAAACCAGTCAGCAACTTAGCTAGCAATGTCGATGTTTTGGTGTTCAGAATAATATGGCGATGACAATAATTACGTATTTTCTCTAGAACCACATCTTCTATAGAAGAAAAGATAATCTCAAAAATTGCATTTATTATACTCATAGACCAGTTGGTATTATTATTTTTGTCAATCAAAATATGTATAATTATATTAGATTTTAAGCTCATTTGTGCTCAACAAAGGTAACCCAGAGTTCTTCCTATGTAACTTGTGTGTGTGCGTGCACAAGAAACCCTGATTTCATCCAGTGTATTGATTGTTTACTTTTAACAAAGGTAACCCTAAGTTCATGCACCTGTCTGTGCAGTGTGTTGTTACATACCTGAATTCACTCAATGGATGTTGATGAGCTAACAACCATATCTGTTTAGTCATTGTCTAGTGATTAGCATGTGACTTTTGGTATCCTCTCTAATCCTCATTCATACACAACTTGTTTAGTAACCTCACCAAATTGCACAGTAAAATGTCATCATCTTAACATGGAACTATAAAACCCCAGGAAGAACAACGAAACTAAGAGGATTAAAAAAACCTTTGTCTTAGTTTATCTTACAGTGCTTTCGCTTTTGTTTCCACAACATTAGTCATACTCCATGTTAGTTGCTGCCGATACGCCGTATCAACCGCTTTGCTGTAAACGGAAAACTTGAAAAAAAAATTCATATCTGCGCAGTAAAATATTTCGTTCACTACGCATGCGCAAACAAGTCGGTCTGCAGGGTGACCTTCAGTGTACCGGAAATCATGCAACGGGTCGAAGTTTTAGCGAGTTTTCATAATTTTTACTGTTGTTTTTAGATTACTTCCTGTTTTTTTCAACCCTCGAAAAAATAAGGTTGCGAAAGTTTGCGAAACATGGGGTTTGGTATGCTGTTTGTTGTTGAGATATCCCGACTTATTCCATGTTTCCCTTCGATCGCCAGAAGTGGCAATGTGTTTTTTTTCCCATTGAATGTCGCTCATTTATCAGTGTTTTTGTCTTGGCGCCATTGTTTTTTTATCCTATAACCGGAACAACTTGATCACGTGATCTCCCGAAGTCGCCTGATTGACTCCGAAAATGACCCATAGTCAGAGATAAACATTCATTTGCGTAAATCGGCTTATTTTTTAATGCGACGAAATAAACAGTCAAAATAAACATTCGACATCGCGGCAACTATCATAGTTCAAAGGAAACGAAATGGTTGTTCTTCCTGGGGTTTATAGTTCCATGGTCTGAGCAACTTGTCATTCAGGGATTAGTAAAGCTGATACCGCCCATAACTTGCTCAAACACATATTAACCATACAATTTTCTTAATCTGTGCTCCCAATCTCACCTTGCCACTATACAAAACTCTGATATATTTGCTGTATCTAATGCAACCTACTAATAGCAATTTATAATTTTAATCTTTTAACATATACTGTAAAATACTTTATTTTCGCTTGGAATTAATTTTCGCTATTTTCACTGAAGGAGTGATTTAGTGAAACTAGCATCCAGCGAATATACCTTATTTCCTATATTTTACATTCAGCTCACAAAAAATCAGTGATAATAAATTCCATACAAAATACCCATAAAGTCTTTTCAGCAAAAAATAATTTCAGTGAAAATAAATTATTTCACAATACACATCAAGAATTAACTGTAAATTGAAACATCACCACAGGACATCCTTCACAACAAAACATTACTGATAATATTTCCACGAAAGTCATTTCACATTTCAGACCACAGCATTCTAACATTGTAATGTTTGTGCTTATATATCACTTTAATTTTGCAAGAGACAACAGTTTGTATTTGGTAACAGTGAAAATATTGATAGAAAGTTTCTCTGTTTTTCACAAAATTATGTCATCACAAATGTCATCAAATTATGAAAATAACTAGCAAAGAGTCAGCTGCATAGCACTGTAAAATAAAATTTTCACTTGGAATTTATTTTCAAGGTAATTCACTGAATCAGTGAAAATAAAATTTAGTGAATATATTGTTTTCTTATATTTTACTCATCAAAAATCATTAAAAATAAATGCCATACAAAGCACTCAAAAAGTCTTTTCAGTGAAAATTAAGTTTTTTTACAGTGCAGTGAAGTTAGCTCAGATTAAAATAAATTAGCAAGGTATAGGTTTCCCTATGCCCCTCTACATGTATTAAAATGATGGGGCAGTACTTCCGACTTCTAAGAAGATGTTGGAAGTGTCTTCAGATTACTAGTATGCTTGCTATGTCACCAATTTCATTTTATTCTTACAGGTTATTGGAAGATACTGAAAATGCTGATATAATACTTGTATGTGGTGGTGAACATCTACTGTCACATAAGATAATGTTAGAAAGCAGAGTTCCTGAATTTTATAATTACTTTATTGGTGATCAGTGTACAGCTAAGAAGATCATGATGCACTGTGTCTTGTTAGATGACCTCAAAGCTTTCCTCAGGTAACTGGCATACAAGAACTGTTATACTGTATTTGCTCCATTAGAAGTGCATGTATTGACATAAATGACCTATTAAACAATAGGATACTTCCCAAAGCATTCATGGCTTGTAATTTGGGATAAGCATATTTATATAGTGTGTGTGTTTAGTAGAACAAAATGCCAAGAACAGTTTTCAAACTTTTTCACAATATTGGTTATGCCAGCTAGTTAGTGTTAGCTAATTCTACATAATGCACAGAAGAATGGATTGTAAAAACTTGTAGAACTCGCAAACATTCTTTTGTTGTCACTGTGACAATAACCACAATAGATGATAAGTATCAATGACACTAATAATTTTCTAGAGAATATTGCACATTAAATTCATATTATTTTTAAATTTGAAAACTGAATTCATCGTCTAACTAGTGTTCAGTCTTCATATTTATTTATACACCAGGCAAAACTTGATAGCTGATAAAACCTGTCAACAAACAAGCTGCTCTCTGATGCTGGTGAGATTGCTCCCAGGAGTCTTGTATCTATGACAAACATTTGGCGATGTTTTCCCATTGTGTTGACTTGGATTGAAAAGTAGTTTCATGTTACAAACTCTATTTACTGTATTCAAATCATACCTAAGACAGTGTGTACAGTAAGCATTGAGGTACAATATACTGTAGAATACTTTATTTTCGCTGAAGAGATGCTTCAGTGAAAATAGATTCCTGCCAAAAAATGTTTTTTTTTCTATATTTCACATTAAACTCATAAAAAAACTATTGAAAATAAATTGCATGCAAAAAATTTTTGTGGCTTGTTGCAAATCATAAATACGTTTTGGACAAAACATCACTGCATTCTTTGGTGAAAGGATCAACACCGTCACATCTATGCACTTGGCGACATTACTAATTACTGGTAATATATAGGGTCAATGTTTGCATTAAAAGCAGTGGTTTTATAAATGATTTGTTAAAGGGAATTGATGAAATGTTGCAAAATAGTATGTATAATGCCATTCTCAGCGATGGAGAAACTTGATAAACAACGTGGCATGGGGTTTGTGCACTTGTACACCAAAGAATTCATACATAATGTTGCTTACATAGTTGTAGACTATGACTGTGCAGAATTTGAATTAATTCAAGTCAGGAAAAGCAGAGATTGTTTTTTTTCCCAGTTTGACCCAGTACCTTGTTTTGAAGGAATCGACTGTGTCACATGACTATTGCTATGTTCACACGGCAGCATTCTACCGGAGCCGGGCTACTGCTCCTCCCACCGATTAACAGGAGATTATCTCCAATGCGTTCATACGGTCGGGAGCCGAACGAGAGCCAAGATCTGCCATAGTTTGATTCAGTTCAGAACAGTGCCCTCAAATAATTAGTATGAAAAAAACATGACTGAAAACGATATTGGTGTCGAGCTTGTATTGTTTCTTTACATAGCACAATTCTGTTGAGCTGGGAGAAGAAAAAAAAACACTCACGATCAAGTCTGAGCATTGAGGTTGAAAAGACAATAAACTGGTGTTATGATTTAGGTAATAGTATTTGGATAAATAGGAAACATGGCAGCTAAAATGTGTTACAGCCTATTCGCTTAAGTTATTGTTATTGTTCAACTGTTGTGATATGTGTTACAGTTGTCAATCTAAACCTTCTAGGAACATGTCATATTACTGTGACCGCTTCTACGATTTTTATCTCTGGTGTCTTTAAAAAGTATCTTCAATTTTCATTCAATGTTCAGTCCTTCTTTCAAATTTTTGTCGCTTAATTTCGTACGCCATTTTTATGTTTCCCATTAACCTGTCAATCTATCGCAGTATTTCTGTCAAGTAGATATTAGGGTGCGTACCTCTTTGTCAAATCGGGAATTTGCTTGAAGTTACGAACGATGTTGTCTCCACCATATTTGAAATGAGAGGTTACTTCAAGTTAAAGAAGACGATTGAGGACACAGTTGGATATACACAGTCAGGGCCATGTCGGGGCTCAACCCTATCAAGAGTTCAAAGGTTTATTGAAGCCGAACTTGGCTCGAGCCGAATGTGTATTTATGGCCATTTTTGCTGGCTTGAGCCGTAGGGCTCTGATAAAATGCTGTCGTGTGAACATAGCATATGATTACTAAAATAAGATGAGTGTTTGCTTGACAACCAGCTCATTTTATAATATTTTTGGATGTGTGCAGTAAAATTGTTTTGGAGTCAGGCGATAGTGATAAACTATAATAATTTGCACACTTCAGGGCTTATGGGGACACCTATGCTTTGGTCATTTAAGGCCAGATAAGGCATCAGGTCAATTAGTGACCATGAATTGTCAACCCTGCTTTCTGCCCCTCCCAAAGTTTTCTAATGATATTCCTTAATTCGTAAGGTTGAGGTAATGGTCTTTGAGATAGCAGATAAATACACACACAGTAATTGAATTACTATAGACATGTAAACAGTGACTAGACTGATGGAAGATTGATTATTATTTCAACAGAAATTCATTTCTTTGTTATATGTCTTAGCTATGAGCTATGTTCTCACACATCTGAAAAACGCCGGTGTTGACACTGTTTTTTTTGTTGTGCAAATATTAGATAATCTGCCGAATTGTCTGCTCGCGGTCTCACTTAGTAAAAACATCGGTGTTTGAGGATTGAATGCTGGCCTTCCCTAATATTTTGTGTAGTTCATCCCAAAATGGCATAGTTTTCAGATCTCTACCACTTCTGTTGTTGTGCTCAGTCACTTCTCTATACTTTATACGCAAGTTTTGATCTTCTGTTGACATTGTAATGACGTCCTGTCCAACCCCTTTTCAGCTGCTTCTTCTGCAATCACAGCATATACTATAGCATTCCTAGACGTTCCGTCCATCATTCTTTGAATACTCGATTCTCTCCATACAGATACATCAGTAATCTTGTTTTTTCGTCTGACCAGTTCGACATTCGACCTGTAACCTCTGACGCCATCTTGTGTAATGATAAGCATAAATAAGTCAGCGATAGAGGGCGTTTGGCCGTCGTATTGTGTTGTGCAAGAGCCGGTGTGACAAGAGCGTTTAGGGTCTGGTCCACCCCATTTACGGCTGTGTCAAAACCGCCAACGCCTCAATGGCGTATCCTGTTTACACACTCCTTTTAGCGTTCTCAAATAAAAGACGTTGTGACATCGGCTTGTTTCGTCCAGTGAATATTCAGGCACTATCAGATACAGAGTCACAATGTTTTTTTTAACAAATCCTGAAGTCTTCTAACAAGGATAATTGTTTCTAGCAGCCATAAAAAAATAAAAAGCAGTTTTCATGAAAAATCATAAATTTCATGGAAATCGGAATAAAAGTAAGGCAGCTTGTGCCGATTTTAGAAAACAAATTTAACCAGAAACATTTTTTCGGTCCAACCTGCATGTGCAGTAAAACTTGGCAAACTGAATTGTGTACTTTCACACACAGTATTTAGAAAAGTAGGAGGCTGGCCATTAAGGACAAGAATAGACAACTAATAGCCTGCAGTCGCCTGCTAAGTTAACCCCTAGGTGCCTTCACCATAAATTTGTAAAAAGTACCTCAGTAAATTGAATACTTTTTTAGTTTCTTTGTGTTGGGTTTAGACTAGAAGTTTCAAATACAATACACAGTACATGTCAACCAGGTATAGTCAAACGTGAACATAAAAGTCACATCTGTTTAAATAATGAATGACTTTGGCCGCCTCATAGAGTATTCGGGTCAGCCCATTTTTGGTACACTACCCCAGGTACATTGTATGATGTGAACTGTGGTCTGAACTGAGTGATCAGGGGTCTGGTGTAAAAACCACAATAGTACAGTTGAACTGCCACATCACTTAAAGTTCTTTGTTTCTTTTAATTTTCACTTTTCACCAGAAGTTTCACAATTTGATGATTTTATGGCACCTATGAAGACAAAATTTCATTGACATTTTTTTTAATTTATTTTTTATTAGCTCCGCTGTCGACTTTGTCGAGCGGAGCTTATCATATGAGTGATTGTCCGTCGTCGTCGTCCGTCGTCCGTGTCAATGTTTTACTTTTTCGACTTCTTCTTGAAAACTACAAGCCTAAATGCTTTGATACTTGGTGTATATGTACCTTGGGTAGACCTCTCTTAGGTTTGTTCATTT